ACCTCCCTTATTGGGTGCACTTAGTATTCAAGGAAATGATCTGACTCGTCCCTCTATACTCAAACTTGAGGGAAGAACACTAATCGGATCGTATATAGCAATGTTTGGTAACACGATATGTTGTAGCTAGATAGCAGACCCCTTTTGCCTTTTTGCACACCAGTAGCTATGTGAAAACGCTTTTCAACAATCCATACTAACGAGGTCTTACAATTATGTGATGAGGGTTCGACAAAAGTGTATTGACGGTACACTACGCAAGTGTTAGTGGAGATGCATTTAGAAATTAACATGAGCTTGGAAACTCTAGTGATGTATTTAAATAAAAATATGGTGAAGAACCATGACGCTGCTAATGATAAGCGAATGGATGTAGACAACAAGGACACCTCTAAAATTGAAGTCTAACAGATAATGCTCGAGCAGCGGTAGCACAAGGGAACAAGCCAAACGGACAACACCCCCTAATTGTCCGCATCATGCAAAGCTGAAATTGGATTTTGTGATGTATCCAACTAATTTGTGAATAGCTTCACTCACACAGCCAATCAGAAGCTACTGTTTTGACATGCTTGCTATTGGAGTATATATAGAATCCAGGTATTGTACAGATATGTGATAGAGACTGGACATGTTGACACTTTCTAGAAGAACGCAAATATACCACGTACGGCTACGAAGCTCTGGGAAACCAGGTTTTCGCCCACGGTGAAGTCGACTATATACCATAGACGTGTCATAAACAGAAATAAGAACCCGTATTTAGGATGTAGCTGGATGTACATATCTAAATACTAACCAGAAGGCGACGAGATCAAGCCAACGTCAATTCGTCAAGTATACATTCTATTCCGCCAACACAAAGACGTGGCACATGTAAAACCATATGGCGGACATGTTTACATATCATTGGCGATGTAACGCAAGCTTGGACATTAGCGTGAGCTTTCGGCCAGCCCGGATGGCTCGCGATTTCGCCAAAATTACATGTTTTTCAAACATACCAGGCTGCAAGTTCCGATTGACAAGCTCACTATTTTTATCTTGAACTACATGGATATTGCCTACAGTTACCATGGAAACACTCTCGCTGGGGCCTTCGCCCACTGGGGTTAATTTCCATACTGGCTGATCAAGGTACCCTTCGCCCCACGGAGCATTTTCAAGCCTGAAAAACATCTGTGGTGGCCGAGACTCTATCCACATTCAGTTATCATGACCTGGGCACTTTCAAACCGTGAGGAAGGAATGTGGTTTACTACTTTAGTTAAGTCGTCGAGGATATAACGGCGTGTCAGCTCCGGGAGTTGACACGGGCTCCGCCGAAAGGCGTCGAGGTGACGACGCGACAGGCAGTGCTGGCGGTTGGAAACGCCCAGCACCGAAAAATGCTTGTGTGCTCGCGTGCAGCCGGGCTGCACGACGAAGCGGAATGCAATCAAGCCGGGCTTGATCATTCATGTCCGCGGGAACAATTCGCCGACGGTTACAAAAGTAACGGATACGCGTCCAAGGCCGGGCCTGGACGAGAATCACGTGAAGCTAGGCTTCTCAAGAAAAGACAGCGCAAGCGACGAAAGCTACGCAAGTCTAGTTCCGGGACCGAGACGCTGCAGTCGGTGTCTGCCGGGCGACCTGTTCGATGGACGCATCGAACAGATATGCATCCTTTCAGATATTGAAAGGATGGAGAGCGAAGCGGAGGAGTTGAGAGAACTCCACGCTGCAAGTACCACTGAGAGTAAGAACACCCT